TAGGGGTAGATGTATGGACCAAAGCACCTCGATCGATCCGGTGCCCCGTCTCGAGCATCTGCAATGCGGAATAAGATCCAGCATAGGCTATAAACAGGGTTGCTCACATTATCCCGTGGTGGAGATACGCGGTGACAAGACAATCGGCAGAGGGATCGTTCATCCACTGAACTGATGTTATTATGACAGAGTGTGATGCGCTGTATGGCGTAGAAGGGGGTGCATCGAGTGTATCACCGTAGTCCCAATATGTGTCTTGCAAAGAACTGTTAGCGAAAATATCGCGAGGCAAGTTCCGCTGTCGTTACCGTTACCGTTCTCAACCGACGACCATATATTTACGACATCGTGTGCTGCCGTAGCGAGGTGGCAGGATGCGGTGGTACCCTTGCTAAGTGATAAACACTCGATGGGCTTTGAATGTGCACTAAAGCCAGAGACGTAGATATTCTCCTGTAAATTGCAACCGTTGGAGAGTATGACTGATTACTGATGCTGCACTTACTTCGTTGAAAGCAGCCGTGATCAACGTCCCATCCGCAGTCCCACAGATGATGCGTGAAGGGCTAGATCTCCAAAGTAGAGAAAGCACAGCGGAATGAGTAACAAGCCGATGGATGGCTTGACCAGAAGAAAGAGACCAGACGACAATTCGCTTGTCGGTGCTTCCACTGGCAACAAACAACCCATCCGGGCTCAATGCGACACAGTTGATGGCGTCTGTATGTTCTTCAACTAGAGTCGATGTGGATCTGTATTGGAGAGGCATGTGTGTATCGCCCGAGTGTAGTCGCGGGCGTTACTGGCATTACTTACAGCCCCCGTCTCGGCATACACGTGTTGTCGCAGCAAATGGGCACGTGCGGAAGTTTATATATTTGAATAGTTTGAAGAAAGGCTTCAGTCGCACGAAAGCTTACATAAGGATGTCTGCCAAGTCCCGCAGTGCGGAAGGCAGTATGGCTCAAAAGGCGGGCACTGAGGGAGGGAAAAAATAGATCTCTACCTAGATAATGTGCTAGTGTATTTACTGACATGAATACATATTGTCCGGATGCCATAGACGGCTGGGAAGGGGCAGGAACACCATTCCGAGGGTGAGCCACAACTTGCCGAGCACAGGCCGAGCAGAACGGAAGGAAGGGAAAACGAAAATTGGCGCCTTGTGACTGTAAATTCAGCGGCACGCAGCTGGCTGAAATGGGGTTGATTTTGGCGGGAACGCCTGCGAGATTACCTCGTGAGGCTCTAGCGTTCGATGCGTTTACAGTCGCCGGGTTTACAGTCCTGCGGGATTTTCCCAAAGCGCTACTCAGCGCCGGCACGGAAACTGGCACCTTTCGTCACATGATCCCTATATCGGGACTTCCTCCCCATGTCGTGAATTTCGACTGCAATTTCCCCTGCGTCTGCGACTGTAAATGCCCCTATCCCGACGTCAAACCCAGCGGAAGAAGGTATATTGCCTGTATTTCTAGAACAACGCCATATATCTTGACAAGAGCCACACACCACTGCGTTCCTACTGTCAGTAGCGTGTGCCTCAGCAGAATTCAGATTGGATGTTGGTGTCGCAGCCGCGTCGTATCGACGAGACTTTCTGCTCACTACGGGAGTGGATTGCTCAGAGGCGCCCCTCATTCCACCCTCGACGTGGCATGTATGCGTGTACTGCACGATGAAGCGAGGGTCACCGGTGGGTGGGACTTTCAAGCCAAGCGCGGTTAAGCTCATAACCTATCTGCCAACCTACTTGAGTACAGGCAAATCACGGCGTTATCTGAACCAACAAAAGAATGAGCACAATTCGAAGGAGGGTGGAAAGTAGGCGAAAGTTCTTCGCCTCAACTGCCACCAAGTCCAGCTAGAATTTTCTATCTCAAGTTTCATCGTACTATAGCGGGCACAGTCCAGCCAATCTCAAGGCATTGGTCCTCCCACCTCCACCGAGAAGTGGCAGAAGCCAGACGAGTCCACGGCGGCGGTGGCGGCGGCGGCGATTGCAAGTTACAAGCTGGTGGCAATCTTGACCCTTGAATTGAATTGAAGTCAAAACACCCACGGGTTATACGGGACCACTATCGGATAAGAGGTAATGAGGAGAGTTGGGAACAGGATCGCGAACCACTTACGCGGAAATCAGAGAACAAGCCCGACCAATAACCGATCTGCGCTGCCGCCGACGCTCATCCACCTACCCGACTTGGGACCTTGTCTCGTATAGTCGGTCGTGTTGATCTTTGTCGGACGGGGCCTCAATCGTCGAGGACTGAGTTGGCGCTGTCCCGACAGATCTGAAAAACCTGCTCCAGATGCTTGTGCTTAGCGGAGAGCATGGTGGATGAAGAGAGCCTACGGACACGAGATGGCAATAACACTCGTGAGACTCTATTGCGGGTAGTTTCGGGCGCGGACGACGTAGTAGATGAAGGCGAAGGGTGACGAACAGAGATTAGCCTTCGCGAGATTCTGCCATTGTTAGATATCTCATGAATGTTGAGGAAGTCGTGCCAGAATGCATTGAATTTCGCAGGATCGGCCCACATCTGCGCATTCATCACGCCCCCTGGTTCGCCTACTATACACGACAAATAGAAACCATCGCCGTATCCAGCCATTGTTGCATCGTAGGGTTCGAAAAATGAATTTTGGATGCGTACAGCCGGTAGCGTTGGTTGAACAATTTACCCTCGCCAGCATTAACCTCGCCAATACGAATCACACATTGGTCGAAAATGTCGGCCACCATTTTGGACAGAGCTTGCGGTGGCAGATCATGATCTAACCACAACAAGCTGCAATAAAGTACGACCCAGAGCAACGATTCCATGTCGTCCTGGATCGTCTGAGTTTCGTCCCTCCAACTCAGCGAGCGCTGTGACATAAATTGGAAGGTGCCCTAAGGGCGATAAGCCAGTGTTGAGAAACTTCTTCCGGATAAATTTGATACTCACCACTTTTGCGGGATCGCGAGCCCCCCTCGGCTGTCACTAAACATGAAAGGCTCCAATCAATAAGATATCCGCGCTGTATCATGCCTGCTGGGTTGGGACCCTGAATAGGATAACATCATCCTATTCAGGGATCCCAACCCCGTCAGTCTAGATAACATCATCCTATTCAGGGTTGCGGCACTAAAGCCAGGTAGATTCATAAGGGATTGGCCCACTTCTCCGCAGAGGCGGCCGACATCCGGCAGAAAGTTGAGGGGGAAAAGCGAGTATCCCGGACTATGCACAAGAAAATGCTTCTTTGGGATTCTCATCGCCACCAGGTCCGTGTCCAGCTGTAGACCTTCACGGTGTTCACGGTTGTGTTTCTCGAAGTTCTTGCAGTACGAGCATGCAATGTCGCAGGATAGGAAGACACCGGATAATTCAGTGTCACTGAGTGTCGAGAGGAATAAGTAGCTCATGTTGCAGAATCTGCATCAAAAAGAGTCAACTAAAGGCGCGTAAAAGCGAAGGAAACATATTTTTCGCCCTTTTACAAATCTCCAACCCTATTCTTGTGCACCAGGGCATGACGAGCGCAAAGAATGGCGCCGACTCCGGATGCTAGACATCCCCCCTTGCGAAGATTCAACTTCACGATCGCGTTGTGTTCTGCAATGCACGTATTTTCCTGGCAGAAAATGATCAGTAATGCAATCAACGTCAACTATAATTACTCACATCTTAAGCCTTCTGGTCGGCATGCGCAACAACATGTGTTTCTTCTCTAAGAAGTAAGCCCATCCGGGGCTTATCTCCACATCTTCAATTCCTCGATCCTTTGAGCGGACGGAAGTTGGCATCCATATTTAATTACCTGTAGATCGAGTGAGACTGATGATAATAGGCTAAACACAATTGTACTTAATGCTTATCCGGACGATCATTCTCCCAACGTTCGGGAAGATTTCGTCCAGGGTGGGGGGCACGCGGGGCATTCCACAGCGAGTTCACCTCCTCTGGTGGTGCTCGCGTCAGCAGGATCGTGTCCCCGCCATGCTCGCTGAGCATCTTGAGGTGACGTCACGCCTCCACGACTTGAGTCGCTGAAATGCTATATCAGTATCCGGCCGGCCATTCTGTGTGAAAGAAACACGTACCGACGGCGGCTTCAAGCCGGTGTTATCAGTGATGCGCTGCAGAGCATTGTTTCGGAAAGATGAACTTGTGGAAAGTGAGATATGAGCGGCAGAAATCCGTGGAGGGAGGTACTTGCCAATGTCGATTATTCACGCTCTACGTCAACACGAAGCATAGCACAACACACCCCAGTGCCAGTGCCTGCCTGTCGACGTCGTCACGGAGCCGAGAACCATCGCCCACGCTGCTTTACCTGCGCCGACTTGTCGACCAGATGGTCCACAAGCCTCAGCACACGCCCGGCAGTCGAGGTCAAGTCGCAGCAGAGACAGTGACAGACAAGGTTAACCGGTGTGACCGGGCTACCGTGGGAATATCGTGCCGATGGCAATTGATTAAAATTCTGAATAAAACAAAGGAGACGCGCGAGGCGGAAAATATTACATAGCCACACCGTGCAGCCATAACGCAAGGCTGGATGGCTACCCAGTCATTATTGAGCCACTAAAATCACATCACCAACCGACGACACAAAGGAATCAGATATCAAATTCAAGGTATACGTGAGCTAGAAACGTGAGCTAGAACTATGCCCCATTCGTTCTTGCAGTTGCAGGTCCAGTTCGCTGAGTGTCTGCTGCAACGTGAATGCCCATACGCAGCTTGGATGGGGAACTCTCACTTTCAAGCAAATATTTGTCTGCTCGCATATATCCGAATACGCGTCCAGAGCACTGTCTAACAATGCATGTTCCATATGCGGATCTACCTGGATTAGAAGAACCTTTCGGGTGATTCTCTTCACTCCCATCAGCATTAGTGTTGTTCACGTCGCGGAGACTCACCTTGAGATTGGCCAAGATACTGTGATGATGTGTCCCTTGAATGTTGAGACGGCGCTTGAAGTCCTTCAGCGGTAACAACTTCTTAGCCGGAAATATTGACATTCGTCTGTATAAGCGTCAATTATCGCGGAGAAGACGAAATCAAAGTCAGAGCTGCGCTCACCTCATCAAAAGTAATTGTGATCAAAGTACCATCGGCAGTGCCGCAGATGATACGTGAGGCGCCAATTGCCCAGAGTAGAGACAATACGGCGGAATGAGTCACAAGGCGATGAAGGGCTTGGCCAGAAGAAAGAGACCAGATAGCCAGCCGCTTGTCGGTGCTTCCACTGGCGATGTACAACCCATCTGGGCTCAACGCAAGACAGTCAATAGCATCACCGTGCTCTCTAGGTAGAGTCAAGGTGGATCTATATTGGAGGGGCATGGTCGAATAGTTGTCAAGTCACTCAGAATGCGTCGGAATCTGCTTCGCCCTTTTAGACGAATGGGATAGCAACACGTGTGGACCACATACACTCTTTGACCGGCTCCAGGCTATACGCCGCGTAGAACGATTTGAGGCTTCATCCATTGAAGGTGATTCAAAGTCTCCGGCAGCGTTCAGTGCGTTCTCTGAGCTCGTGTTTTCTCTATTTTGTTGACAATCGTTTCAGGCGGAGAAGTTATGTTCGCACTCATGGAGGTCTCAATCTACAGATTGAACGACTTGTTGCAAAACGGAGGGACTGCGATGAAATCGGACAATCCGGCAACAGTCGTGCCTTCGCGCGGACTGGTGAATAATTCCCCTTGAACGCAATTTACTGACATTGACTACCTGCTTTGTTGACCACGCAGGCTATTCTCCTCTCATTTTCTAGTAAGGAGGTATCCCATCTTCGAGATGCTTTCAAGAGACGCATTACCCGACTGAAAGACATCGTCCTGGAGTGTCTTAGAACTCCATCAGAAAATGGTCTGCGGAATGTATTGCTATCGGTATTCTTTCGGCGGCAAGTCGTTGAGTCGTTGGGCACAACTGTTGTTCGTATATCGAGTTGGTCTTCCGTAAAAGAGGTTGCGTGAGTCCTACAACTTTCTTTACTCTTTCGTTGCTATCTGACTTTCACGCGCAGCGTTTCATCGTTCATCGACGGTTTCTACGCCATTCCATCGCTCATTGCCGAGGCTTCGCATTATCTAGCTCGGATCACCCATACGATGACCTTGCAAGCAGCAGAAGTCCTGGTAAGTGGTCTCATGGTTTTTGTTTGCCGATACTCGGTAATAATTTTCTATGCCCAGACGAGTCCAGTCGTTGTATCGGTCAGTGCGGTACTAATTCTTACGGTGGGTCTACTCTTGTATGTGTGGAATGTTGCAAGGGTGCTTCTCTCGGAGTTTGAGCATGAAGGATTCCAAGTCTTAGGTAGCGTGTAACGAAATATGCCTGCTTAGCTTACAATGCATCGTCCCTTTGGAATATCTCTGAATTGTATAATTTGAATCGAATCGCAGGTGGGTCGTGCCTATTGCTGCGTATCAGTTCAACGCTCATATGCATCTGTTAGCATTTCGTTCCGTTCTATACATATATACTGTATGTCATTCACTGGGCTGCCTTCAGATCCCGCAACTAATCAACGTTTATGCATTCAGGCTGCCATGTAGTCTGACTCAGCAGTGAACAAGTCGAAGACGTTGTATGTTTGATGGCCTGACCATGTCTCCGCCGAGAAGGTACAGGCCGGTCCGCTCTCTTTGCATGAGGTGCTTGCGATGGCATCTGGGATCGATCTGCCAGCAGGTGTTCGGTGTGCTTGCTGCGTTGCAATGGAGCAGCCAGCCCGCCTGATGCCTCGACTTCCTTTGTCCTCAAGACTTATATACATCTCCTATACATCCCCTACATGTGCAGCATCTTTTTGCACCCCGTCTGTTTATTGAATATCGCTCAACATGACTCGATATGGTTCGCTATGGTAACCTCCTAGATTGTCTTCCTCCAAGTTAACAAGAGACTGATGCCTCGAGCAGGGGTGCCATCGTCCGACCAAATATTCGCGAGACCGTTATTCCAGAGATATCTGATTTGCACATCACCAACGTTAGCTTAGCAGAGCAACTGGGTCCCTACGCAAGTGGTCGCACTTTTCTCAAGATGACTTTCACCTCCGGCAACAAAGACGTGGTCGATACTACTGTGTGCTCGCTAACGACAGGCCAGGTCCATATGTGTTTAAAACCATCCTAAACGTGCTACTGACTACAATATGCATGAAGGTAGAACAGTCTGTATTGGATTTGAAGCTGCCGAAGAGAGGAAGAGTCGTGTTTGAGGTTATCGGTAATAAGTGAGTGTTTCATCCTGGTCATTGTTCAGAGATCCTCGATCAATGCCAACCCTTCAGTGCAATTTGCTTGTTGGGGAATTATTTGTGTATGTCTAATAATTGCGCGTGGGATTGTACACCATCTTGACTAGTCTGCTTCTCATGTACAAGCA